GGGGGGGGCACAGGAGGCGAGGACACGGGGCTCAATGTCATCGTGTGGCGTACATGCATGTGTGCGCGTAGGTGAGAGCGAGAGAGAGAAGGCGGGACAGGAGGAGAGCATTTCCAAGGAAATGAAAGGTGAACGCGTGGGTGAGGTTGGTAGTCGGAGTGCGAGCGCGCACTGCGTCCAGTTCGTGTTTTGTAGACTTCCCCACGCGAGCCAACGCTGCTATGCGCAATCGGTGTGAGCTTTTCAAGTATTGCGTGTCTTTGTCTAGCTCGCGGGTGATCGTGAGCAGCGAGGCGGGTCCGCGCGGACCAGCGGTCGGCGCCTATCTCGACATTACCACCGAGTTTGACCTGGTTTGACCTCCGCTCTCGCCCCGGCTGGGGGCTGGGGCTGGGGCTGGGTTCGTGTTTCCGACCAGCTCTGCCGGATCCCGTTCTCCAAAGCCCGCACAGCCTGCCTGCGTGCTCGCTCGGCTCCGCTCGGCTCGGCCCGACAATCGTGTTTATCCACTCGACTCGCTTGCTCGTCCTGCTCGTCCTGTTGGAGTGCGACTCCGCGCTGCCCAGCTGCTGCTAGCCTGGCGCTGCTGCTGCAGTCGGCTCGGCACTGCGCGACTCGACTGACTGCGCGGCTCTGATGCCTGCTTGAAATTCGGGTCAGCGTCATTAGGCGATACTGACGGCGTGGCGGCGGCGGCGTGCTGCTGCGCGCGCCAGCGCTGCTGTAGTCGTAGTGTGTAGTATACGCGTATGTAAATGCTTTTCGCGTCGTATAATTTGTTTATGTAATGTATTGTAATTTATTTTATGGCAATAATGTATGCGCTGCCGCCCTCCCCCCTCCCCGCGCGCTTTGTGTGTGTGTAGTAGCACTGCCGCTGCTGCTGCCCGCCGCACAGCACAGCCACTCAGATCAGCGCAGATTTGCTGGCCTTTTCTGCGATGGCCGCGCGTTATCCGCGTCGGGGCGCGGCGGGGCGGGCGCGGCGGGGCGGGGCGGTGCGGGTACGCGGTAGTGACGGTACTGCTGGTACTGCTGCCGGACCAAGTGCCGTCGCGTCGGCACGTCTCGCGCGCGGGGTCTCATATACAGGAGAATAATTGGCTCGGACGCGTGTGCACTCATACACTCGCACAGACGCCACGCTCACACACACACACACACACACACACACACACACACACACACACACACACACACACACACACACACACACACACACACACACA